AATATTGTTAAAAATGGCCATACTACCCAAAGAGATCTACAGATTCAGTGCAACCTCTATCAAAAGCCCAATGGCATGTTTTTACAGAAAAAGAAAAAAACAATTCTAAAATTCATATAGAAATGCAAAAGACCCTAAAGAGCTCAAATAATTCTGAGCAAGAAGAGTAAAACTGGAGGCATAATACTTTCTGGTTTCAAAATGTATTATGGTAATTAACACAGTTATGGCACTAACATAGAAACAGGTAGGTTAATAGCCAGACTGATCAAGCAGGAAGGAGAAAAGACACAAATTACAAATAGAAGAAACTAATAAAGAGACGTTACTCCAGACCCTATAGACATTAAAAGGGTGATTAGGGAATAAAATGAAAAAAAAAACTTTATGCCCATAAATTTGACAACTTGGATGAAATAAATAGATTCCTTGAAAGATACAAATTTCAGAACTCCCTTAAGAGTAAATTGAGATCAACCAAAGGACTTGTATGCGTGCATAAAAGCCTAACCAATGGGCATGGACACCAGGGGGGTGAGGGCATGAGTGGGGGGGGGCAATGGGGAGATAAGGACACATATGTCATAACTTAATAAAGAAAAAATTAATTAAAAAATCATAAAGATTATAAAAAATAAAAAAAGAGTAAATTGAAATCTAACACGTGTTATATCTATTAAGGAAACTGAATATGGAGTTTTAAACCTTCCAAAAAAGAAAAATCCAGGTTCAAATGGCTTTTCTGGAGAATGTTACTAAACATTTAGGGAAGAACTTATACCAATTCTCTATAAAACATTCAGAATTTTTGCCAAAAAAAGTACCTCAATCCATATTTTTACTTCATTCGAAACTCACCTTAAAATGGACCATAGACCCAAATCCAGAACCTAAAAAAATAAAATTTATAGCCTAAACCATAGAAGAAAATTTACCTTTAGTTTATACAAATGTTTATTAGATATTATACCAAAAACATGATTCATAAAGAACTGTTTGTTAAATTGGGCTTCATAAAAGAAGAACTTCAGAAAACAATGATAAGAGAACAAAAAAGCAAGCCACAGACTGGAAGAAAATATCTATGAAATACATACAACACATACAACTTTTATCTAGAATATATAAAGATCTACTAAAACTAAACGATAAGAAAATGACACATTTTTTTAAATAAAAAAATCGATCAGACGTGTGTGTGTGTGTGTGTGTGTGTGTGTGTGTGTGTGAAATAAGCACATGAAGCCCTAGCCGGGTGGTTCAGTTGGTTAGGGTGTCCACCCGATATGCCAAGGTTGGGGTTCAATCTCCAGTCAGGGTACTTTTCTCTCCCTTCTTCTCTCTCTCAATCAATAAAAAATTTAAAAAACAAACAAAAAATAAGTGCATGGATAGTTGCTCAACATCGATAGTCATTGGGGAAAGGCAAATCAAAACTATGAGACAGCATCATACACTTATTAGAATGTCTAAAATAAAAATGTGGCATTACAGCCCGAACCGGTTTGGCTCAGTGGATAGAGCGTCAGCCTGCGGACTGAAGGGTCCCGGGTTCGATTCCGGTCAAGGGCATGTACCTTGGTTGCGGGCACATCCCCAGTGGGGGGGCCTGCAGGAGGCAGCTGATCAATGTTTCTCTCTCATCGATGTTTCTAACTCTTTATCCCTCTCACCTTCCTCTCTGTAAAAAAAAAAAATCAATAAAATATATTTAAAAAATGTGGCATTACAAAGTGCTATCAAGAATGCAGAGCAGCTGGAAGTTTCACACATTCTGGTGGTAATGCAAAATGGTACTTTGAAAAAAGTTTGGCAGTTTCTTATAAAGGTAACTAGTTACTTCTATAGAGCCAGAGAAGTAAAAGCTTACAGTCACACAAAAAACTCCAAGTGAACATTTTTAAAAGCTTTATTTGTAATAGTAAAAAACGAATTGACAACTCAAATGCTCCTTAACTGAGAACGGGATATATACACTATGGTACATCCATACAACACAATGGACCACTCCTCAGCAATGAAAAGCAAAAGGACGAATAAGTCTCAAATGCATTATATTAAGAAAAGGCCAGATTCAAAATATGAGTTGTATAATACCATTTGTCTGACATTCTTCAAAAGACCAAATCATAGGGACAGAAAATAGTTCAGGGACTGAGGCTCAGGGGGAGTTGACTGCATAAGAGCATGGAGAAAATTTTGCATGATGGAACTGTTCTATATTTTGGCTGTGTTGTATATACCATATATATGGCATGTGGTTTATGGTGTACATTTTTCAAAACTCGCAGAACTATACATAAAAAATGTGGATTTTATTGTATGTTAATTATACCTTAATCATTTACTACGGTACAAAAGGTAAATTTAGCAAATGTATCTCAGACCTGTACACTGAAAACTATAAAACAATTTGAGAAAAAATTAAAATAATATGTAGCGTAACTAACATACCTTGTTCATATCAAAGTAGAAGTCTCCACACTGTTAAAATATAAGTCTCCCCACACTGATCTATGAATGTTTCAATGCAATATCACTAGAAATCACAGCAAATATTTTTGGTAGAAATTGGCTAAGTGATTCCAAAACGTATGTGGAAATTCAGAAGGCCTATAATCTCCAAAGCAATCTTGAATAGGAAAAAGATGGAGGGCTTTCACTACCTGAATTCAAGGCTTAGTATTAAGCTCCAACAATAAGTATAATGAGGTGTTGGCATAGGGATAAACTTATAGAGTAAACATAAACTTATCATGTGGCTCAGAAATTCTGTTCCTAGATATTTATATGAAATGAAAAAAATATGCTCACTGAAAAACTTACAGAAAAATGTTCATAGCGTTTTTATTTGCAATACTCACAAACTGGATAAAAATAAAATGTTCATCTGTGGGTTAGTAGATAAACAATTATCCTAGATCCATGTAATGAAATACTAATAGCTAATAAAAAGAGATGAAGCTCAAATGCAGTATGTGTAAATGAGTCTCAAAAACATTATAATGAGCAAAAAACCCAGCCAGAAAAGAGTACATAATAATACTGTATGGTTCCATTTGTATGAAATGCTATAGCAGGTCAACTGATCTGTGGTGACAGAAAGTAGATCTGTGCCTAGAATCAAAATTGTGGGTGGCATCGACTACAAGTGGGTTCAATAAAATTTGGGGGGTTTGATAAAAATGTTTCATGTCTTGTGATTTTGTTTATATGGGTATTGATGTTTGTCATAATTTAGATTTATAATTTTAGAACCATTTTATATTATGTAAATGATACTTCAATTAAGTTTATTTTTTGTTGGGAAAAATTGTATTTTAGAGTTCCCTTTCTTTCCTTATATTCTAATAAAATTATTGGAGAAGTTACCAAAAAGGAGGGAACTATTTTTTTAATTACTAGAGGGGAACAAGTTACATCATTTCAGCTCTCTGTTTATTTTGAGGCAGCCAACTTTACTAAGTGATATGAAGAAGTAGTTTTAAGCCTAGTCACTAACAGACTCTTAAGAGCAAGAGTTATGTTCTGAATGCACTTAATTTTAATTCATACAAAATGTCTCACTGGAATGTAACCCTTAATTTTATTAATAAGAAAGAAAAAGAAATCACAATACATAGTATTTATCCTCAAAAGATATCATATTCTAGACATTTCTCCTCGATAGTAGCCCCTTAAAATCCACCTTTATTGACATAAGTGTCAGAACCATCACCAGTTTTAGGAACAAGAAAGACAATTTTATCTCCTTATGATCTTTTCCTACTACATTACACATATTAATTTATAAAAACTAATCTTTAATACTTGTGTGAAAAAGGCATATATAAGAAAAGAGACCTTTTTACATATCAGGTTAGCCTAGATTGATCGATGGTTTGTTTTAACAAAAATATCCAATGTTGGAGCAGATGGACCTTCAAGAAAAGGTCATAAGATTGTGGATTGACCGTTTAGTAATGAGTTCGAAATTTGCTTTAAGATCTTTAAGGATGACCATTTGCAACAGTATGAATGGACCTGGAGAGCATTATGCTAAGCAAAGTAAGTCAGTTGGAGAAAGATAAATATCACATGATCTCACTCATTTGTGAATATAATGAACAACATAAACTGATGAACAAAAACAAATCTACTTTTAAAACAGAATTAATCAATTTTAGCTATGGTTTGAATTTAGGGCTTTTTCCTGCCTTGGAAGGAGAAGAGGGAATAATATTGATGGTTAGTATTATAATAGTACTTGTCATTATTATAATTGTTCTAGGCTCGTCCATGATAAAGTATTCTTCATTTAGCTTTCATTATATGTGTGCAACCAGGAGACAGTTCTTGAGTGATAAACTCTTAGATTTATCTCTGTAAGGGGAGTATAAAGGAGGTATTCTATTTAAAACATACTGACTTTTAGCTGCTGTACTTTTCTGTTTAACCTACATTGCATGGAAACGAAATGAATGTAAGGGCAGCTACAGGGACAGTTGGGTTGTCCCTTCTGGTGCTCTCCTGAGTCAGAGCATCTAGATAACACTACTGCCCACACAGAGCACAAGCGATGTATTGAGTCATCTCTTGGGAACATGCCAGAATGGACTGACCTTTCTTCTGCAAACAAATGCAATAGTATGTTTAACGGGATTGTAATAAACGGACTCATTTTTATGCTATTGGAATGCTATAGGCCATATAACAATGTACACTTCTTTCCACCCATTATCTTTCTTCACCAACTTACAGCCAAAAATTGATTTGAATCTCATATTCTCCTGTTTTTCGCTAATTAGATCCTTTGGTCATTATTACTTTAATGATATGTTATTTCTTTCCTCGTGACTTGGAGTCATGTCAATATCATTTTGTCATTTATTTTTAATTTCTATATATTTTGAACTTTTCTAATTAGTTTGCATATGTGTCCTGACACTTATTTATTTCATTATTGTTTTAAATCTAGGAGGATTTTGACATGTAACCTGTTTTGATATTTGTATTTGCAGTTCCCCGAGTGTGGTTTCTATGGAATGTATGATAAGATCCTGCTGTTTCGCCATGACCCTACCTCTGAAAACATCCTGCAGCTGGTGAAAACGGCTAGTGATATCCAGGAAGGCGATCTTATTGAAGTGGTCTTGTCAGGTAGTATACTTTTTTCTCTCTCCACATATTAATAATTAGTATGTGAAGAATTCTTGCACATAGTTTTGAAGGCATCATAGAAAACATACATCAAACTCGGTTCCAAAAGGAGATTTTAGGGCTCTGTTGACATGTACTTTCAAAATTATTTTGATAAAAACAAGAAGTTTCCTTTGAATTGGCTGTTTCCACACCCAGTACTATCTCAATCACTTCTCCCAGCTTCACGCTCTCCCCCAGCCCTCAAGGATACACTCCCATACCTTCATTCATTATCTTGAATCATGTGGACAGCAGCAAAAGCAAACAAAAAACTTTCCAACAGCTAAGCTAAGCATGTCAGGCCCCAAGTGTTACTGAGTGTCTGGAAGCCAAAGAATCACAGCAGGGCTAGGAAACTGTTGCTTTAGTTGAGTCAAACATCCAGTAGTGCTGAGCCAAGACCAAGTTGAAAACCAGAGCTCAGCATTTACAGTATCAGGCTATGCCCTGTGACACTAGCTAACTCACTCCCTGAGAAATGGCTGCATTACCCGCTGCCCAAATGTATATTTCTTATTTAGGATTTAGAAGTTAGGACTGTGCCTATCAATACAGGGAAAAAAAAGGATGATTTAAATTTTTTTTAAAGTGCCAGAGAACAGCTGTAGCTGGATCCTTGCAACATTCAGTGCAATATTCTGAAGAGGTTCAGATTTTTATTGTTTATTTTTGTTAAGTTTGAGTCATTGAGAAACTCGGATTGCATTACTCCTTTTTCCCCTCCAGCCTTCTTTGCTTGCTATCTCTTTGATGGAAGGAAATCCATTAGCTTTAATTATTCTGGACTCCATTTCCTGAAGTTCCTCAATTTGTTCTGAGCCCAGTACTTGGGTGCACTGATAAAATTCTGTTGGTCTTTGCTTTAAGTCTAATTCTCTTTGCCTTTATCAATCATTTATCCTTGTGCGAGGTCCTGGAATTGCCATATTTTCATGGTGTAGGTAGATGCTATAAAACAAATCATTTTGCTATATAAAAGTGGTAACTTTACTCTTGTTTATAGGGTTGCCAGTTGCTAAATAAACAAACAAAAAATAAAAGCAAAACCTTTCCTAGTTTTTTGTTAAATATTTTTGGAAAAATCACTTGCTTTGACTAGATTCTCTCTTTGGCTCTTTTCACATTGACTTACTGCACGCTGCCCTCACAAAATTAGTGTCTGGACATGCCATTTTTTAAGGTTCCTGTTTCTGAACACTAGGGGCCGCCTGAAATAAATTATTCAGGGGAACCAGGCACTGGGTCTGTTCTCACCACAATTTACATTCAACTCATAGCCAGACTGCTTTGCAGGAAATGTAATGTGTTTTATGAGTCTTTTTCCTTGTGGCAGATATTAAATTTTGAAAGTTACATTTCTAAATGTAGTTTATTTTTCTTTCCATTTTACTTTTGTTATCAAGTGCTTCAGAGTCTAGTCCCAGACGCATAGGATGCAAGCTGTGTGTGTGTGTGTGTGTGTGTGTGTGTGTGTGTGTGTGGTGTGTGTGTGTGCTGGAGATACTGCCTGCCTGCAGCTCTTCCCCACACCGAGTTCCTGCCACAGCCCTCCCAGTGCCCCGCTGCGCAGGATCCCTATTCTGCCTTCCCTCTCCCATCCTTGCAACCCAGGACTTCACTGTGCTCAAGCTCAGCTTCTTTTCCCATCCACCCTTGATGTTTCATGCCTCCCGTCTCCCTGGCTGCAATTGCTGGGAGGGCACCTAAGGGCAGCCCTTTTTCTCACCTGCTTCCCCAGCTGCAGGAGGAGGAAGGCCTCTCCTATTCGTATTGGTGTCATTGGTATTTAAAAGGAGCCATTCTGTAACAGACCAGTTTCAATTCTGAGCCTAGAGCAGGGGTGGGCAAACTTTTTGACTCGAGGGCCACAATGGGTTCTTAAACTGGACCGGAGGGCCGGAACAAAAGCATGGATGGAGTGTTTGTGTGAACTAATATAAATTCAAAGTAAACATCATTACATAAAAGGGTACGGTCTTTTTTTTTTTTTTAGTTTTATTCATTTCAAACGGGCGGATCCGGCCCTCGGGCCGTAGTTTGCCCACGGCTGACCTAGAGCCTTTGAGCCCTTTTCTCACGCCCCACAGCCCCACTGCCCCCAAGTCATCTAACTCTTAAATTATTGCAGTGTGTATATTTCATTGTACAGCTACTCAATTATATTTAGATCTCTAGCATTTAACTGTAAACTTCGTTCTAGCTCCTCTCCCACTCTACTGCTTAGTGTTGTAATTTTCTCAACAAATGTTAAAAATAGTTTTTCCTTAACATCTCCAAACCTTCCATATTACAACCCTGTTTTTCTGTCGCCTCTTACCTTCCTTCTCATACTCTTTTTAGGCCCCGAGTCCCTTGTTGATCAGATGCCTGCTATTTCTCCCCTGACTTTGCCTCACTTGCAGCCCAGCTCCCCGGAAGGGGGTGCTCCATCCCTTCCATGGGGGAGGCCGTTGTCCTCCACTCTTAGGTGAGGAGTTGAAGGAAACAGTCCATCCTTGTCCCCTAGTTCCATTTCTGCTTATTTTCTGGACCATCCTCCTCCAGTTCCAGTGATACCTGTTTCACCAGTTATGTTTTCCTTAGAACATTGCATTGGAATGATTTACCTCCTTGAAGCCTCATTCTTTTAGTCATGGCACTCACTTCAGCATCAGACTCCTGATCCTTCTTTTCATTTTCTGCACCCAGTCATCTTTGGCATTGTTAACATGGAATTTATAACTTCAGATTCCTTGTTATCACTGCTGTTGTCGGTAGCCTGCAGCATAGTCCCATACCTGACCTCACCTATAAAGCATGGCTCCTGCACTGAGGTCACCATCGGGCCGCATTCCTCCTCCATGTCACCCATTGTGACCAAATGCACATTCCTGTTCCCTGTCTTTTTCACTGTAGTTGTCAACCAATAACTCCCTCCCATTTCTGGGCTGCATTTGTCCCTTTCTCTCTCCCCAGAGCACACAGCCTACTATATGCACGACTTGCATCACTTCGATGCAGTCTCAACTATCTTGTATTCTCTTGTAGCCTCCAAGGGCCTGATGGGCCTGTTGGTAATCTAAATACTTCACCGAACAATTTTGCCAATCCTGTTCTGAGTCACACGTGCCTGGTAGACATGCAGTTCCCTGCCTGTTTGGCTCAGTGCAGATTCGCTTTCCACCTGACCTTACCACTGTTCAGCTTCTTCTCCCCTCACCCTCTGGTTGCAATAGGCATATAAAAATATATGTTCTCAATTAACATGTAGGAGTTGGTCAGTAGAGTATCATATTAGAAGTTACCAAAATTTTGTAAAAATACCGATTTTTATAAAAATATTATTTCTAGATATATCCTCAAAGTTAACTGAAGTTTAAGTCTCCCAGTAATGCATTCACTCAGCAACGACAAGAAATTAGTGCCCGTGGTGTGGGCAGGATTGTATTGCATTATAATTTGAGGCAAGACAAATGATAACTACTAAGACACTTCAGGCCATGGGTATGGGGGAGCTCAGATCACATCCTCATTTCTGACCCAGCCCCTGAAGAGGACGGAGTGCTGTGATTGGTCAGAGAAATATGCCATTCCCTGGAGGTGTGGTTAAAGATCAGTTTTATTCAAACTGCAGTGGGTAAGGAGGGTAGTGTGTGTGCGTGTGTGGGGGAGGGCATACTGGGTGTCCCTCTATTGCCTTTCGACCAGTTCCCAAACACAAGCATACTATAGAAATTTCCCTCTTGAACACTATGATTTCACTGTTAAAATTCATTTATCCAAATTTTGTTTTTCTTCATAAAAAATTAAATTTCACTATGTAGTTACATAAACATAATTACATAAATATAATCTGGTTCTTCTTATATTTAGCCCAAATTCTACCAACAGGAATATTTTCCTGACATAGGAGAACAGTAAAAATGTGAGAAAATATGAAAATTGTTTATTTTGAGGAAGGTTAAATAATCTTGCCTTTTCAGACAATACCAGAGATTTTCTCTTGTTGATGTCATTTTCTGCTGAGATCTTTCATCATCTGTTAGTACTAACCAGGCTGCTCCCAGCAAATTTGCTGGGTTTTCCTCCCGTTTTCTTTTTGAAAAATGTGGCTGTAGACCCAGAAAGCCAGGAAAAGATTGCTTCTGGGTGGATGGGTTGGGTCATGGTGAAAAATGAAATAGCTTCATGGAAGTTCCCCACCATACACACTCCCGCCACTGTCAGATTGTCTGTTAAGCAGAGAATTAGTGTTGTTACTGTTGTTATGAAGTAGGAAAACACTGCAAATGGAAATTTCTCTTACTAAAGCCAATGTCAAGTTCAAATGTATTGTACTGAACTATAAAATAAAGTTCATGGAATTTATCTGAAGTCTTGTTCATGATCGGTCTCTCTCAAAGCTTAATAATTCAGCCATAGCAAAGCAAATTAATAACAGGACTGTGTTCACATGACCCAGATCTTTTAGTTTTTGTTATTTAGGTATTTGGGGCTTGAGCTCTAATAATTGTGTGTGTGTGTGTGTGTGTGTGTGTGTGTGTGTGTGTGTGTGTGTCTGATAGGTGATTAAATGAAAAAATAGACAAGGACTACAAGAATTTCTCAACTAAAATCATAATTTTAAAAGTCTTAGAGCTAAATGTTGAATCTTTTTACAATGGTAAAAATCCATCTTTTACTTGTGTTTTTTCATTAGTTTTTGCAGCAGATTATGCTGCATTATTTATAACTTTTGCAAAATGCCATTTCTATATGCGGTTATTTGTTTCCCACTATCTAGAGATGGAAACCACTTGAAAAAGTTAGTGCTATAGCCCAGGCAGAGGTGTGTGGCCTATTCTCAGGCAATGACAGCTGAAAATGAGGTAGGGAGATCAACAAATGTTTCAGAGGTAAAATTAAAGAGATATAATTACCGTGTAGTCATAGTTGATGGAGAATGAGAAAATGAAGAGTACTCTAAGGATAGATACAGC